TGCCAAGTAGTACGAAACCCGAGTCCAGGGTTTCCTGTTGACTACCTCCAACTACCATCTAAATCTCAATACATAGGGCCCGCAGTGTCGAGTCACCTAGACTGGTGGACACATTGCAACATGATCGATAGCATTCGATCTGCACTAATAAGGACTAGACAAGCATGACATTGATCATCACCCAGTGATCAATCAATTGTGGTTATGAGATAGTTGAAGACGGTCGATAGAAATCTTCAGGTTTATATTTCATGCTCACTCAGCTACGACATAGGATCAGGCACATATGTGCATCGGTCCAATTTGCTATACCTCATTAGCACAACAAGATGAACACCGGATTCATAAAAGTAGTTAATTCAATGATGGTAATATACAAAAGAAAGATTACATATAAAAATATAGTACAGGAATAAGGAGTTAGTTCGTAGAAAGAAAGATATATTAGCAAAGTCTCGACCGTTGCTTTCTCCCTGTAATATATCCTTACATTTAATCCTTTTTATATATTACTACCATTAAAGTAACTACTTCTATGAATTTTGTGTTCATCTTGTTGTGCTAATGTGGTGTAACAACTTGTATCGACTCACATATGTGCCTGGTCCTATGATGTAGCTGACTGACTGATGGCAAAGTAACTAATGAAAGATAGAATCCAAGAAATTGGCTGTTATTTGCAATTACTCATGCAGATAAATATCGTGGTCACAAACTTTAATTCTAAGTGATGTCTGGTAACTTCTAAATTTAGTAAGTTGTATGGACTTCGCATAACCAGTAAACGAGTGGTGACTAACCAGCATTTTTAGCTGAAGACTCATTCTATGATATATCATAAACTATGTAATCCCACTCTTTAACTCAATCCTATTAGCAAAAACCAGTCCTCAGTAGAACAGACACTGGGATATAATTTGTATGACTTATTCAACGTAACATTCTAATATTTGTGCATATCATCGCTAACTGAATAACCATAGAGATACTACTTAGATGTACAAACGGAAATCGGTGAAATGATATTCAAATCTTGAAGCTAATATTCGATATATGAGAGTTTAGACTGTTGAGTTATTAATTTTATTATCGTCTTAGTAGCAGATAAATTGTTTGAATTTTGTTTTTAGTGTGAAAAAGGAAAGCGTGAACTTGTATGCAATTGCAACGGTCCCTTCTAAAAGTTGAAACTACATTTATTTGTAATGTATATTCCTAACTTTCATGCTCCGAGTTATTTGTCATTTGGTTGCAAAATGATATGATTTCTAGTAAATCAGTTCATTGTATATGCATAGCACTTATATAAATAATTCAGATATCGTCCTGTGGTATCTGAAATCGTGAATTTGATTAACTCGAACAATGTAGAATGTGAAAATGTAACGCAACATCTTATTTCTCCATGATTTCTGTGAATTTAATGTAAGTGTTAGGCCAGCTGTTGAGGTGGCATAAATGACAGTGCATTAATAAGGTATTCAAAGATTCGAGTCGTTTATAGATTGACAGTCTAGACAGATACTTTAAATAGGAAAATTGTACTATCTTTAGCTCCCAGGACATTAAATATAGTTATCTACACCACATAAACTATTGTTGACTTCTTATATTGGTGGTACGCTTTAGTGTTCTAATCATCTAGGCTTTTCTTGATTCCATAAGTCACTCATTATTCGTCTCTCACTGAATCAAGAATATTTTTCTACAGAAACAATAACCAAATAACTTAAATCTGATACTTAAACGAAATCATTCAATCGAATTGTCTACCAAAGGGAGCTGAAAAAGCCTAGTTCGAAATTTTAAATGAAAAGTATGGACAGCAGTCTACTGAGTTTCACTGTAGGACAGCACATTCCGTAACGTAGTCTGTCTGCTTGGAGAAATAAAAATTGGACATAGCATACACAAACAATAGCATGACAGATGTAGTTCGCTACACTTGATGAATCAGGTAATGGACTTATCAAAGACATCAACCATGTCGGGAATCCGTGTTATAGTATTTTCTGACTTACCATGCTAATGAAGATTTTTCTTAGTTCGGGAAAAACTAGGAATGCCATTCGACAAGCTACCACTTTTATAAAGTTAGCCTGTACAATTTGAAGTGATTGTAGTCGAAATGACAATATATGAATTCACTTTGTGATACAGACGAGAAGACTTCATACTACCACATTTTGAAACACTAGTATCCTATCGTTCTCGCTGGTGTTATCCTGATGTAACAAAGTACACACACGTCTCGAAGCATCTTTAGTGTGAAAACTAGCGGTACCACTCCTGATAAGCGGAATTGTATGGTCATCTTATCCAGGTAGTATACAGTCGTTTGAATATTTATTAGCGATCCCTTCAACCTACATAACTTTAACGTCTTGGGAGTAGCTTTGGGCCTTATGAAAAGTTTATGTAATCTTGTTTACTTCAATTGGATATCGTGTTCAGAGAGCGGTCCAACAGGACACTGAGAATATTCCGATTAATAACGAAATGAAGATAGATTAAACTAGACTCAGATAATTCCTCTCTACCGACTACCCAATCAAGCTACTGCAGGACGACGAACTAGTCAACGTACAAAAACGTCATCTTTCAGTGCCCATGTTTTCTTACTTAAGCACATATCGATACCGAAGGGCTCCAAAACTTACCAGCGCTCTTAGCATGAGTGATCCCCGTTTATTATCCAAACACTTAGGAAAGTACCTGCATTGTTCGTGTATGTGCTCTAAAGCTCCGGATTACCATCTAACTTCCAAATACAGTTGCTTTTAAAGAACGAGGTCAGTGGTGACCTTAATTAACTCTGGTTTTTAAATCCCGGAAACCCCTTGATAAGATTTCACAAGCTAATATCACTCAGAATCGAATAATTGCATAGATGGTTTGCCTCTCCCAGTCAACGCGCGAAGTTAAATTACGGCTAGTACCATAAATCGTCCACACAAATAATATGCAGCTCGAGGTGTGCTATCTCATTTCGCTTATGCATTTAATAAAATATATTTTGTCTAGCAGTGACCTTAACACAGCTTTCAGCCTGAAGTAGTATAGTATTCAAAAGAACATGATCAGATTAATCATGTGGTGTTGGGGGGTAATGTGCTGCACTCCACGCTACTTGGCGATCAGCTAAGTAGGCCAAAACTTAAGGAGCACATATACTCCATTAGATCTAGCACCGCGCAGCTTACGGGGTGTAAAAGCCACCGGTCTGCTCCATCCAACTTGTTTCTGAGTGCTGCTTAACTGTTCTCATCAACACGAAGTGCCCACATAGCACGCAATGAACCCCTTACAGTCCCAAACAGTGTAGCTTTTTATTCAACCGCATTGTGAATTACGAAGGAAATTTACTAATCTCGGGAGCTCCAATAACGCACACATCTGAGTACAAACGTGATATAGTAATATTGTACCACTGATACTCTTAGGATCTAGACGGTTATCCTTTGCTCACTTGTTTACTAATCGGTTAAACGAGTGGTAGTTTAGACATAGCCACTTTTTTCGCAACATTCAATTAGTGAGTACCACATCTCAGCTGACTAACGTTCGCTAAAGGTGAATGGTTTTCTCTAAGCATTACCTTACTATAAGTACTTTATTATTCAAACACTACACTTAGTTCATAATTCACGCGATGGCTCAAAACCCGATATCACGAGAGTAGAGCAGCAGATAGACGTAGTTGAGAAGTTCGTGTATCTGGGTAGCTGCATAAGTGCTGGTGGGGGTGTGAGTGATGAGATCAATGCACGAATAGTGAAAGCCAGAGCGGCTTATGCCAATCTGGGCCACCTTTGGCGCCTTCGTGATGTTAGTCTGGCTGTAAAAGGCCGGATCTACAACGCGTCGGTGAGAGCAGTTTTGCTCTATGCTTGTGAAACCTGGCCTCTCCGAGTTGAGGACGTTAGACGACTTTCTGTGTTCGATCATCGCTGTCTCCGAAGGATTGCTGACATTCAGTGGCAACACCATGTCAGTAATGCAGAGGTTCGGCATCGTGTGTTCGGGCACAGAGATGATAACTCAATTGGTGTCACCATCTTGAAACACCGACTTCGGTGGCTTGGACATGTTCTCCGAATGTCGTCCCAGAGAATTCCACGTCGTGCATTATTTGCCGACTCTGGGACTGGTTGGAAGAAGCGGAGAGGTGGTCAGTGCATGACATGGTGTCGTGGCATGAAAGAAAGCTGCAAAGGACTGGCTTGTGTTGGTCCTTCACGACTCCCTGGTTGGGGTCTGAGAGATGGTGCTACACAGTGGCTAGAGACGTTATCAGATATGGCTCAGAATAGAAGCCAGTGGCGATCCTGCTGTAACCTTCTTTTACTTTCTTTATAAAAAGTGGTTGTGTCTCCTTTACCTGAAAGATTTCTTCTGATTGTACCTCTTCGTCATTGTTTTCTTTTTCTTTTGCGTTCCTTAGTTTTTTTTTCTTTTTACTTCTCTTCGAATTCCCGTTGTTTTGTGTGGCGCATATATATTGGCGCTCTCTTGTACCAATATTTATGTGTTCAAATAAAATAAAATAAAGAGCAGCACAGTTAAGTTATATTCGAACCTACGCTGACAAAATCATGTAGAATATCAAATTTAGAAGTACATCTGAGTCATGGGAATTAATATATACAGAACAGGTAATTACATTTCGATCACTACGTATCTTAAGTCATTAAGTACATCCAATTCCATTTGCGACTTACCTAGATGCTACTTTGGAAATGCTTACTACTTACAGGGTGGCGAGAATATGTTCTCGAGCTTGAAATTACTTTAGAAGACTGAGTAGTGTTATTAACCCACATACAATGCGACTGATTCAAGTACATAGCCATGCAGCACACAAAGCAGAATTATCAAAATCGATTTGCCAACCACTACTTCTGTTTGTTCGCCACTTATCTATGCTACATACTGACGCAGATTAACTCAACCTAGTCACTACGATGAAGCTAGTATATAAATTGTAAGCAAGACTACTCAACTGGGCACTATTTAATAGACCAAAAAAGTTTTGAAAGTATATTTACAATATGTACAAGGCAAGAAAAATATTTACTGTTTTTTGCTGCTGTTATTTAACACGGTAAACTTGGTCATTGGCTTGCCACCTATACCACACGTCCCAACACCCACACGACCGTCCAGGGCTTCAGGAGAGGCGAAGATACTTTTCTTTGTCTTCCCAGTTTTGATCATTTTCTTGCTGAAATTAAGCCAACGGTTTTTCTCCTTTTCGCAAAACGACTCAATCTCTACTTCCTTTTGAAGAAGACGTTGTTTTTTAATCTTCTTCTTTTCTATAGCACGAGATTTCGTGTCATGTCTGCAGATTCAGTTGTAGAAATGTAGGAACTTACTTTTTCTTTTTCACAATAGGAGTAACTGTCGTGACCGGCTTTAAGTGACACAGCTGCAAAAGAAACATGCTTGCGATGAACGTGATGTATAGAGATCAAGCATTGCATATAAACAGACATCTTAGGTTTGTTTAAACCAAAATATTCACTCACGATTAATTTCCCCACGAACCGTTGATTGCTGTCATCCCAATTATCAAGCGGACGGCTTCAAAGTACCATACGTCTCGTGCTTGAATGTATACAAAAATTTAACGGCAGCCGCAAATGGTAAGACAGTTAGGACAAACCAATCTTTAAATAGGTATTTTCTAGCTAAAACGAAGACCTAATTACGTAGACAAGTTTTATTAAGATTCTTCATAAGGAATATGAAAAACTAAAGTCCCATAAAAGGCTTATAATTATATAGCTGCTACAGTTGCTGGGCAAAAGATCAGTTCCCTACTTCAGACAAACTTAAAAGCTATCTTAGTAAGCCTACCAAGTGGACAAATACAGCAAAGATATAAAAATGTAGCAAGAACACACCTGGCATACGTCCGTTGTATCGTACATATCGAAATTAACGACGCAGCTTACATCCCCAAGAAATTCAAGTATTGTAGCTCGGTAGTAACTACTAAGTAACACGAGAATTCAAAAAAACCTACAGTTTATCACGGGAGCACATAGCCATGCACTGATCGCCAACATTCCACGATACTTCTGGTGTATCAGATGTTCTGCCCAATAATTCAAGTGAGAGTTTGATGACTTCCTCGAGATCTCGTTTGAGCTGGAGAAGTTCCCCGTTTTCTGGATCTAGCTCGAGAGCTGCTTCGACCTAAACATAAAGAAACATAAGGCACTTGAAACGAACCTGCTGAAGTTGCAGCTTGTGGTTCAAAAGGTCTAATTGCGGATCATCAGACATCTTTAAATACCAGACCTGTATATGGCGCTATATACGTTGTCAAACCATTAAAACTAAATATGCACTGATAACATAAACCTACGTCGGTATAAAGTTAATGATTAAGATTTGAACTTTATTACGTTAAATAAATGATTTTGGTAATTAAATTTGTGATAAATGGCTTTTATGTAGAAATTTAATTGGAAATTATGAACTTTGTCAGGGACGTGTCCGAAATGGATATCTTTCATGCTTAAACGGACATATAAACGAACGAGGCGAAAAATGGAGTTTGTGAGCGCGTTTTAGGGTTGCGGAGTTTAGTCCTAGCGTGATTTGCATTTCTCAAACTTTTGCTGTCTTTACGCAACAAAAGTACCATTTTGGAACCAAATGATCTGTTCCGAGCTTGAAGTTCGTCAGATTACTCTTATTTTTGATTATTTCTCCAGTTAATAGATGACTGTGGTTTTGCCGCAGCCTATTTGGTTTTTCAGTTTTTCACGTCAAGCCTAGTTTCAGTATATCCTAACATTATGCACCACTCACTTTTTTCCGTTTGGAAAGTGCTATTTCTATTTTACGGTCGTAAAACATTGTTAATATCTATTGAACAATTCACAACAGTTGTGCAGAATCCACGCAAGCGACCCGGATGCTGTTTTGTATCATCTGGCATGCAGTATGATAAAAGCAAAGTTTGGTTCCACGAAGCGTGCATGGATAATACCGTTTCTGCTTACAACGGACCTAGTAAGTTATCAGGAAACCTGGAGAAAGGTCGCCTTAAATCAAATAAACGAACAAAGACATTCAATGAAGGAAAGAAGGGGGATCTTGACATCGTTAGTATTAACGGGACATGAATTGACACTAGTGAGTGCACGCCAAAGCTCGGCATCGTAATACCATGGATGGTACTAGACTCTCGCAGCAAACAAACTAGTGACAATAGGAAATAAAGGGACCTCAAACAAGCAAGAAACCAATGCACAAAGGCAATAAGAGTGGAAATGATTCAGTACCACATACAACTAATGGATAAATCGGCCTCCTATCTGTAAAGCCTATTCTGTCATGCAGCCTCTTTTCAACAAGCTGAAATCGGAGTTTACCAATTGTTAGTTCTTAATAGCCCAATCACGTATGTCTTATCAAAAAGCTTGAATGATTAGGTACCAAATCACTTTTAGTTGACTGGCTAACTTCATATTTACAAAATCGACATTTGAAGGTCAGAGCTATGCATTGTCTTGTTGGGGCCCTTAGAGTTCAGCACTAGGACCTCTTCTCTCCTCGACTTATACAAACAATCTTCCGCATAAGGTATCGTCAGATTTATTTCTTTTCGCTGATGTTATGAAAGTTAGGAGAGGATTGCTGAATTATGAGAATGGACTAGCACTTCAGGAGTATCTAACTCGACTTCAAGGTTAGGCAGACGACAACAGGCTTAACTTCAACACTTCATAGTGCAAAGTAGTTCATCTGAGACATGTTGCAGACTACAAATACAACTCAGACGATTCCCCTCTAGAAGTATCTGAAGTTGAGAAAGATCTAGGAGTGTTGGTACCCTACTATCTGAAGTCTTACGCTAACTGTGTAAAAAATGCCTTTCAGCAAACCTTGCACTTGTAGAGTTGGATAGTATTTTCATCCAGTTTGGAGGAAAGAATTTCCACCTAATCTTTAATAATTTTATACGCCACCATTTAGAGTATGAAAACATGGTGTTTCCTCCTTCCATTCAAAAGGATAAGAGATTCTTGAACGTATTCAACAGCAAGCCATGAAATCAGTTCGAGTACTTGAACTCAAGTTCTTTGAAGAAGGACTTCAACCACTGAACTTTTACTCAAAAGAGTACATGCATCTTGGAGGTGACCTTTTAATGACTTATAGCATCCTCAACACTTCTGAGCATCCCCTTAAACACCTACTTAAGCTTAGTCCCAGCTTAAACCCCAGGGGTAACACCCAGAAACTGGTGACTCAACACATCGGAATGAACTGTAGATCCCCCTTTTCCTCCTCAGTAATAGGCAAATACTGGAATTCACTGCCCGCTCAGCTAATCCAAGCGGCTTCCTCGGAGTTCTTTAAGAGAAAACTTGACATATGCCTAAGGACTAGTGACAGTATCTCACTATGATTTACTAATTGCTTTCTTTTGCCTCATTCATCGTTAAATGTACCCATGTTGTTTCCTTGAAGTAGACGGTGATCCACTGATACTGTATACGGAAACCCGTTTAGCGAAATCTTCGAATCCGTCCTGAATCATTTGAGCTGTTCTTTTGTAATATGCTCCGTGTACACTGATTTTACTGTTTATATTATGTCTGTAGTTGTTTTCTCTGGAATTTATTTCATAATTTTTTAACGTGTGGTTTTCGGAATGTACTTAATCAAGCCATACAACAATTTTATTCTTACGGCATTCTGCCCATTCGGTCAAGGGATGTCATGCATATTGACTGTTCTATACATAGTGATTTTTAGTAACATTTTGAGCAGTGAATAATACTGATTTTTCAGTCATTACTTGAGGAAGAATATCATGAAGCTCTTTGAAGCTACGGAAGTTTCAACAGGGGCTATATTCTATCGGTGTTATTCAAATGATGTATAACTTCTCTCCTTGATGGAGTTTGATAAACAGGCACTCTAGTCAAAATATTCATATATGTACACGATTTCTACTTCGAGGATTCCGCTCCAACTTTCGCGTTTCTAGGTAGTTTTTGGGGATCAGTTCTCACTAAAACCTGTGACTGGGTAGCAAAATACCTTAGTAACACGAGGTTAGTGGGAAAATTATCTTCTGACCTACTAAAACAAAGGAACTAATTAGCTCTACACTTCAATTGCTCTAATATAGACACACGACATATTGCCGGTGGATGTGTGTACGAATCACTCTGTATTGAATATATCTATCTTCAAATTAAGGACACTAATGCTAGCGTAATGTTGACTATTCTAATTCAAACAGATTGCCGACATCTTGTTTAGATGTTGCTGTGCAACTATTTTCGTTTTCATCTGAGTCTTGAAATTCGGGGATGTTATACACGAGAAGACTGTAGTTCTTCTAAGTTTATGACACAATTTGCGGACTGAAAATGGTGAGGAAGTGACCACAATATTTGTGGAATTAATTGATTTTGACCATAGCAATAATGGTATAATGAATTTTTTTGCTTAACAGTGGCTCATCGCCTTCATCTAAATAAACCAGGGATTCAATGTAGTCTTACTGATATAACTCCCTTTAACTGAGAGTAGGAGTAAAGTCACACTAGATCTTGCTAAGGACTAGTGTTTCTTTGTTTTAAATCACATGATGGCCACTTTGAAAGCGGATATGTGTCGTCTTGGGAGAGACAAATATAAGTAGAGATAATCAACGGGATGCATCGAGATTACAAGTCGAAATTTTAGAAGCAGTTACTGCCAAGCGTTAAAACCTGAGGTTATGAACTTTATATTTGGAGAAAGACTGAGGCCTGAAATGTGGTAAGATGGCCTGATTACCGTAACGCTTTTACGGAATAAGGTGAAGGATTAATGTCGAACTTCAAACGGCCACTGGATATTTCAGGACTTCCAACAGAGCTGGATTTATTTGTGTTGTTTAAATAAATCGAGATATGTATTTTTGTTAACGTTCGACATTGACATTTGTCATTACATATCTAACCGATAATGCTAACCAAATGCACTCCAATCAAGCATCGTGACGAAGTCCCGTAAAATCTCACATCAGATGCATCAGCTTCACGAGACAGTTAGTTTATAAATAATGTAGCCTCCTATCTTTGCTCATCGTCAAATATGAGGTTCCTTCCAGATGTCATAACTTTCCATCACGTTAGCCTTCCTGGTATTATTAGTTAAGGATTTGGAAATCAGTATTGTCTGACTTTTGTGTCCATAATATTTCCATTAGTGAACTTTTCACATGGTATTATGTATATTGTATGGCTTTTGAACTCTCTTAACCTCTGCATCATGTGAATTTGTACAACTATCTATCTCATCGTTAGCGATTAAGTAGATTGCTTCTCAATATCGAATTATGATCAGCTTTGGCATCAGAATTGTTATGAAGATTGAGAAAGGTTATGATTTAACAACAACGCTTAGCTCCCTACAGATGAGAAAGATTGGTTGATTCTAAGAATAACTACAGAACTGGAAAGGCAAATCACAATGCACGATGGCATCTTTGCAAACTGGCTTAACAAAACTTTGTAACTAAATATGAATCGCACTCGGTTTTATCTCTTACACTGATGAAACACTAATTTGCCTTGGAAGAATATCTACACTAGATACCTTTCTAATGTCTATTCTGCAGGATTTCAACAAAACTGGAGTCATGAACATGTTACTAGCTTGGCTTGTACGTGAGTATATTTCACATCAACAATCAACAACAATAATAATAAGGATATGAAAATATATGACATCCAATAACTGTCAGATTATCTATTTGTCTGACTAGGTAAACAGACATTCATTATTTTCCTCCCACCCACATCAAAATCAGCAATTTAGACGAGGATATTCCAGATTTGGCCTCTAAATATATCGAGTCCTTTCGATTCGGTCAATCGTTTAAGTTTACTCGGGATTTATTGCACGTTCGTAGCCTTCAACTTTAAGGATTAAACGAAACATAACACCATATATCATCGATCATGTAACTAGTTGAAACCGGTCGGTATAGATAAGAACTCTCCCACACATAAAAAATGTACAGTGTAGCTGAAACAACATCGTCAAAATATTCACCATATGTTGAACAACCTGTATCCGGATGTTTTGTCTAACTACCAGCCTCTCTTACCAGGCTGCAACAACTAAGGAGGTGGTGAAGTTTATGTATGTTATCAAAAATCTCAGGGAACTGAACGTACCAAATATTACTTAGGCACTTCTTTTAACTTGCGACACACATTTCGACCACATTCACCATAATATGCTGTGCCCCCTACAGAGCTGAGTGGATTCCCCACCTTGCAACATGTTTGAACCATTTCACATATCAAGCATCAACATT